CACCTGATGAGAATATCAGAGGCATTTTCCTATGCGCTTAGTATACTTACACAAACGCCGTCTCCATGCGAGTGCTCCTCCTTCTGTCATTCTGTCCAAATAGAGCTGGTGCATATCAAAGCCTTTTTATGGCTCTGCCTCCTTAGACCAGGTTGATGACATGGATTTGCATACGTCATCACTAGTGATGTCCCGGACGGTTCGCCAGCGAATAGTTCCTGGCGAACAACGCTTGTTCGCCACGGACGGCCCCTATTCGTCATCATTGAGTAAACTTTGACCCTGTACCTCACAGTCAGCAGACACATTCCAGCCAATCAGCAGCAGACACTCCCTCCCAGACCCTCCCACCTCCTGGACAGCATCCATTTTACATTCATTGTGAAGCTGCATTCTTAGTGAGAGGAGGGACAGTGTAGCTGCTGCTGATTTGATAGGGAAATTGATAGCTAGGCTAGTGTATTCAGTGTCCACTACAGTCCTGAAGGACTCATCTGATCTCTCTGACCTCACTACCCCCCACACCACCCCCAGCCTCACTACCCCCACCACCACCCTCAGCATCACCACCCTCAGAATCACCCCCCCACCACACTCAGCATCACCCCCACCACCCTCAGCATCACCACCCCCAACCGCCCTCAGTCTCACTACCACCCACACCACCCTCACTCACTACCACCCACAGCCTCACCCCTTCCACCCACAGCCTCACCCCTTCCACCCACAGCCTCACTACCCCCCCCCCCCCCTCAGCATCACCCCCCCCCCACCCTCACCCCCCCCCTCAGCATCAACTCACCATCACCCCCCTCCTTCTCACATCACCCCTCCTCACATTACCCCCTACACCATCACCTCCCTGTCACCATCACCTCCCTGTCACCATCACCCGCCTCTCACCATCACCCGCCTCTCACCATCACCCCCCCATACACACAACACACTTCAAGCAGCTACCCCATACACATAGGGTCTCAGACAAAAACGCAGACATGCTCACAGAGACATACGTTCACACACAAGGATACTCTCTGTCAGACACACTCTCAGGCACATACACAGGTAAACTGTGCATCAATGTGTATATGTAACACTTTTTTTGTTAGTGGGGCCTCATGTTTGAGTTTCGCCTAAGGCCTCATAAAGTCTAGAGCCGCCTCTGTATATATATATATATATATATACAAATATAGGGAACAAGAGGCAAGCACTCACGGTCTTTTGGTTTCTTTAAAACAATTTTCCTTTTATTTCATTGCTTAAAACTTGATCGACGTTTCAGCCACAGTACATGGCTTTCATCAGGATCTTTACAGCTCAAAAAAGCTGTGTATATATATATATATATATATATATATATATATATATATAACTTCCCTTGTCTCCGCAAATATGCTAACAGGTGTCAGTGGTACTCAACTTCATGTGACATTGCTTGACTGGTGTCGTGTACCACCTAAAGGGCATTTTGTAGCATTGTTCCTGAAGTGTAACGAACATGGATACTTTGATGCACACCTCCCATATATCCTGCCAACCAGTTCCCTTTGAGAGCCTCCCACAGGTCGGCCTCCCACTGGTCAGTGTATTTGAGAGCCCCCATTCCCCTGATTCTGAGCTAATGTGTAGGTAAAGTAGAGTAATCATTTTGGTTTGGGTTGTTTCCTTGTAGCACAGTTACTCACAGAACGTTAACTTATGTTCTGCTGCTGCCTGGACTTCTTTGGTGCATGCAAAGTCTCTAATCTGCAGATAATGGAAATAGTCTCTCATCTGGAGTGGGGCCTGGGTTCGTAAATGGTCAAAGGTGACTATGTCACAATTCACACATAAGTGTATGTACCTTTGTAGCCCTGTAGCCTCTATTCCCCTGAAGTCCCTAGTCCTCATCCCTTCATTATATTCCTGAGGACTGGAAACAGTGGTGAAGGGTTTCTCCCCAGGGCATATTTTTGATTTACCTGGTCCCATATTTGGATGGAGTTAAGAACAGCTGGGCATGTCGTTCTCAGTATGGCCCTCTGAGCTTTGGGGTAGACCCGCCTCCTTCAGTAGGGATTCTATGTCCACCCATCTCCTCCGGTCTGGTGGTGAGTGCCAGTGTATGATTTGGGTTAATTGGGCACTTAGGTAGTAATGGTATAGATGGGAGAGACTCAGTCCTCCTCTATACTTGGGATGGTACAGTAGCCTGCACACCTCAGAGCCGGGATTGCTAGGATCAGAACGAGATCCATTTTACGACATATAGGAGGTGTGGTGCTGCCATAAAAGCACATCAGCATCGATTACAGAGCCAGTACTCACACACAGGATCCTTAATATGTGAGTGTCCTGACTTCAATATCATATATTGTGTTCCACTTTTTGCACCATCTGCACTATACTGTATGTTTTGTCTTTTATCTGTATTTTATCTTTTATATGTATCTCATACCAAGTTTTTAATCAAGTTACGTGTGGTAAGTCTACCTCACATACGCACTATATATACAATTTGTTTAGCGCTACACTTATGGGTGTATTTTGACTTGCGGGCCTGTCTGGGCCGTTTTTTCTGCCATATAAATGAGTTGATTGATTTTTGCGTAGACGTCAGGTCTCTTACGGGCAGTGACTGGAACATGAACAGTAATCTCAGCAGGACGTTAATTTTTACAGAATGTAAGCACCCCATCCACGAGATGAGCCTCTGTTCACTTCTCTAAGTCTCCTATGAGGGTGGGGAATAGCAGGGTATAGTTTCACCTATATAGGGAGGCAGGGTCTGCTGTTAAATTAACTCTCAAGTATTTAAACTTGTCAGTCGCTATTTTAAACAGTTATGTCTGTCTAATGGTGGCTGTGTCCGGGTCCGAGATGTGGAAGGGCATCACAACTGACTTGGAGAGACTGACATTATAGCTGGAGAGGTCTCCGTACTGGTTTAGCAGGGTTTCAAGTTTGGGAATGCTTTGTATCAGGTCTGTGAGGGTCAGCAGGACATCGTCCGCATATGCCGACACATTAAAGGGTTGGAGTGCTATTTCCACACCTCAGATCATTGGATCTGATCTGATGGCCAGGAGCAGTGGTTTGAGGGTTATTGCGAACAGCAGTGGCGAGAGTGGACACCCCTGCCGTGTACCATTGCCCAAGGGAAAGGGGGTCTTCTGAAACCCAGTGATGAGGGTTTGTGCTCTCAGGTCTGTATATAAGGCTTTAATAGCTGTGATAAAGGGGTTTGGGAAGTCTATCTTATGGAGCAGTTCGAACATAAAAGGCCATTTGACCCTGTCAAATGCCGTCTCGACATCTCACAAGAGAGCCAGAGAAGGCATTTTAAATTCCCTCATGTACCACAGTAGATCCAAACCCCTACGGGTGTTCTCATATAGCTGTCGTCCTGGCATGAAACCGACCTGGTCTGGGTGCACCAGTCGTGTCAGGAGTGGTGTGAGTCTGGTTGCTAGAATTTTCACAAAGAGTTTTAGGTCAGAGTTTATTAGTGAGATGGGTTTGTAGCTAGAGGTTTGGGTGTGACCCTTGTCTGGTTTTGGTATTAAGATGTTTGCTGTTGCCATATCTGCATCTGGCCTTCCACCCTCCCAAAAGTGATTGCACAGGGCTCTCCCCTCCCCCCTACCACTGTTGTAGCGTGGCCAAGCACTCTATGGTCCGCGGGTACAGGGAGCTTTTGTTTCCTGTACCCGGCCGGACTAACAGGAAGTGCACACTGAGTGTGCACTTCCTGTTAGTCCGGCCGGGTACAGGAGACAGATGCTCCCTGTACACGCGGACCAATAGAGGGCTCGGCCACGCTACAACAGAGGGAGTGACAGGAAGGAGCGCTGAGCGCTTCCCTCCTGTCAGCCCCTCTCCTCATGCTGCGCCCAGGCGGTGCGCCCCCATGGACGCACCACCCGGGCAAAGCTGCAGCCACCTGAGGCTCTCTACAGAGCGCTCGGGCGGCTGCAGCATGGGGGGCCGGCGCCCCTGGTCATGGCACCCCCCACCCTGGTGGCACCCGGGGTGGACCGCCCCCTCCGTCCCCCCCTTAATACGCCACTGCTTGCAATATATTTGTTAAATTGCTAGTTTCCCTGTTAATTTTGTACAGCTGTACAGAGTGACACTTGTCCTGCCTACATTACTGTTCTATGTATTATGAAATCAACAAAGTGTAAAGTACATTGCTAAAAATGCAAATTTTAGAGATCACACATTTCAAATTTCTTGAAAGAATCAACACAATTAAATAATATTGTTAAAGAATGTGCTTAATTTGTATGAAAAGTTTGAAGAAATGCATATAACATCAGGGGCAGAATGACCACTCGGGCACATCGATCATGGACCGAGGGCCTGAGACAGCCAGAAGCCTGGCCACACAGCCATGCTCCAGCTGGAGAGATTAGAGATCTCTCCAACTGGAATGGCAAAATAAAAATAAAAGATCTCTTCCACTGTTAGGTTGTGGGGTCCCTGATGAAGTGCAGGGCCCCAGCAACCTACGGCTCTGCACATCACCTCTCCCCTCATCCTCAAATGAGACCTGGCAGTAGACGTGCAATTTGTTTCATTCCGAATGCCAATTTGGATGAATTTCTGAAATTCGGACATACGGATGCTTTCAAATGTCCGAAGTGCCGAATTACGGAATGCCAAACCAAACTGAACCGAATTGCCCAAGTACCGAAGTTCCAAAGTGCCGAATTTCGGAATGCCGAACCGAACCAAACTGCCGAAGTGCCGAATTTCCGAAGTGCTTCAGATTTCTGAAAAGTGGCAAAACAGGAGAGGGTTGGGGGTTGGGGTAGGGTTAGTGGTTGGAGTAGAGGTAGGGTTAGAGTAAAGGGTTGAGGTAGGGTTAGTGGTTGGGGTAGGGTTAGTGGTTGGAGTAGGGTTAGGGGTAGGGTTAAGGGTTGGGATAGGGTTGGTTGTTGGGGTAGGGTTAGGGTAAGGTTAGTGGTTGGAGTAGGGGTAGGGTTAGTGGTTGGGGTAGGGTTAGGGGTTGGGTTAGGATTAGAGGTTGGAGTAGGGTTAGGGGTAGAGTTAGGGTAGGGTAACCCTAACCCTACCCCTAACCCTACCTCTAACCCTACCCCTAACCCTTAGCCCTACCCTAACCCTAACCCTACCCCTAAACCTACTCCTAAACCAACTCTACCCTAACCCTAACCCTACCTCTAACCCTAACACTACCCTACCCTAACCCTACACTTACCCAAAGTCCTAAAGTCCTGATTTTCTGAAGTTCTGAAGTCCCAAAGTGTTGAATTTCCGAAGTGTTGATGTGCCAAAGTGTCGAACTGAAGTGCCGAAGTTCCGAAGTGCCGAATTTCGGAATGCCGAACCGAATATTTTTCCCATGCACATCCCTACCTGGCAGCTTCAACTGCTCTCTGCCCGGTCTCCTCCTCCCTGTCCCACGCGGCGATCTGTGTGATGAGAAAGGCGGGGCTTGGAAGTAACATTTCATGTACTCTCCTCTCACAGCCAGGGAGGTGAAGGAGCAGCAGCCTGAGAGAGACCAGAGGGAACAGAGAAAGAGAGGGAGGAAATAAAAAGGGGAAGATGGGGAGAGACCACAGGGAGCAAGGGGACGATGGGGATTCACTCTCTACATCTGTCACTAGTCACCCCCTCCCTCACTCTGTCACTAGTCACCTCCTCCCTCCCCCCCACCCTCCCTCACTCTGTCACTAGTCAACTCCTCCCTCCCTCACTATGTCACCTCCTCCCTCACTCTGTCACTAGTCACCCCCTCCCTCACTCTGTCACTAGTCACCCCCTCACAAGTGCTTTCACACAGACTCAAATACAAACATGCATTGGTACATAGGTCTTCACAATATACACATCCAAACGAATGCCGTATTATATGAGAGTTATATATAATATTTATTAATGCACATATATTTGGCCTTCAAGGGGCCTGGGATCTAAGTTTGCCGGGGACCCCAAAGGCTCTAAGTCTGCCCATGCATAACAGAAATGTTTTTTTTTTTCAGACAAAACATATGTTTAATGGGGTATTGATTTTACCCTGGTCAATAAGTGGTATGATCTGTTATGGACGCGGCTGGACGCGGCAGTGTTGAATTTTCATAGTTTATAAATGTCTATACATATAGATACAGCTAATATAGGTTTACAAGAACAGTGGGGAATAAACAGTCAGAAGCCGATAACCACACAATTTGCCTGTGTCCTATGCAGTTCCCACTGAACACAAAACTCCCAGCTTTGGGGAGGTATGGGATCAGGATGAGAGGGGGAGTCCTGAGGAGGCATTGTCAGAGATGTAACTTGCCCTTCTACAGAGCGCTGCTGTAGTGTGCAGTCTGGGGATCTTTCCAAAGTCGTAATGGAGAAGCAGGACCCATAAATAGGTACTGTCCTTCCCAAATTGGAACTGTTGGGAGGCCTGTTAACATATTGTATGAGTGGTGAAAAAAATTGAGACAAAAAGAGTAAATATAACCCTTATAATAAAATAATAATAATAAGTAGCCTTCCCTTTGTCATCACTCTTTCTGTTTTTCGGTAAGTAATAACAGCAGCTGTATCTTGTGCAAGAACTGTACCTTAAAGGACCACTATAGTGCCAGGAAAATATACTCGTTTTCCTGGCACTATAGTGCCCTGAGGGTGCCCCCACCCTCAGGGACCCCCTCCAGCCGGGCAGGATGGCGAGGAAAGGGGTTAAACTTACCTTTTTTCCAGCGCTGGGCTGGGAGCTCTCCTCCTCCTCTCTGCCTCTGATCCTCCTCTTTGGCTGAATGCGCATGTGCAGGAGGAGCTGCGCGCGCATTCAGCCGGTCTCATAGGAAAGCATTTACAATACAGTTTCTCTGAAACTGCTATGTTTATAAAAAAAGGGTTACTCCTAGAGGGGGATATACTAAGTATTAAATGTGTGTATCCACAACTCACAAAACTGTGGGAGTGGAACACACATAGGTCAGAATGGTGGTTCCAGATCCACCAATAGAGGGCTTGTACCCGAAATAAAATATAAGAAAAATAGAGAGTGGTAAAGTCTCAATGAAATGAGACTCAGGACTGGTTTTAAACACAATATAAGGGATACTTAATACATATTATGACTAAAAGATCAGCACTGAGCATTAGTAGAAAAAATTGTCCATTAATCTATAATATTATATATTGTATATTAATTCCGAGGAAGTGCCACAAAAAATAAATGAAATTAAAGATACTTTATTATGATTCTGTTGAAAGAAAAAAGGCACTATAAATAGACTATCAAAAATAGAAAATAATAAAATATAGGTCTTTTTCTTAGGAGTTACAGGGAATATATACTTTCTGTTCTATATTCCTCCTTATATATGCTGCTCTGTCAAGTATTCTTTATTGGGTTTTTTTTTGCCTTGTTATATACTACTAGGGACAGCATAGAACACCCTTGAAGGTGTTCCACTTAGGAGCAATAGGGCAGATTTATTGTGTATATATATGTATATATATATATATATCCCTTTTGTTATGCTCTGACTGCCTGTCCTCATGGCTATCTATTTTTACCTCATTGTTCTGAGGTTAGCCATTATATTCCTATTTTAGGTTTTGGTCTTCCCCTCTATAGATATTTGATCCATTTCTCTATATATTTTATTATTATTTTCTATTTTTGATAGTCTATTTATAGTGCCTTTTTTTCTTTCAACTGAATCATAATAAAGTATCTTTAATTTCATTTATTTTTTGTGGCACTTCCTTGGAATTAATATACAATATACAATATTATAGATTAATGGACAATTTTTTCTACTAATGCTCAGTGCTGATCTTTTAGTCATAATATGTATTAAGTATTCCTTATATTGTGTTTAAAACCAGTCCTGGGTCTCATTTTATTGAGACTTTACCACTCTCTATTTTTCTTAATCCTAGAGGGACCTGGCACCCAGACCACGTCATAAAGCTGAAGTGGTCTGGGTGCTTAGAGTGGTCCTTTAAGTCTGAAACGGAGTCCAAACAAGTGTATTTGTGTTGCTGTGTTTTTCTGTGTGTAACCCAAAAAAAGTACAGTTGCTTGTAGATAACCATACATTATAAAAATGCATAATGGTCAGGCATATATTAGGAGAAAATTCTCGCTCTTCTGGATTATTAAGACATATCCAGAACTCCTTGATGGTACTTTTTTTTCTCATAAAACATATTTCATTATAAATCATCTCATAGACCACATGTTATTAATTATAAAACATATTTGATGTACTTAAAATGGACATACCATTCTCCTTATTTTTTTCTGGAGTCACAGTTTAAGAATGTCAAGATGACCAATTCAGATATCTTGCTTTGCATAAGGCCATAAACTAATCAAACCATAAAATGGTTACAACACATAGGAACAAAAAATGTAAATAGTGTTTGATGGGAGCAAAACCATTTCCTCAATATTCCAGTAATGTAAAACCACTGTTTAAGGTAGAAAATCATTTTTCAATCTCAGGAAACAGTCCTAGTAGCTGCCAAAAGACCATACATATAATAACAAGTATTTGCTAACGTTGAACACCTGTGGTTTTATAGGGGTCTCTCAGGACAGCTAAAACTAAGTATATTCAAGTCTACTGATACAGCAGCCAATCAAAACTAGAAGGGGGGAAAAAAGCATTTTCTTAAGCAATCATTTTAAGTTCAGAAAAATACTCAAATTAATAAACAGTGTATCAACCTTTTATTATATGCAAGAACATATAAATATTATTTTAAAGAAATTTAACCAAACATGTAATATGTTAATATGGTTTGTGACCTTTAAAGGAACACTATAGGTACCTATACCACTTAATCTCATTGAAGTGGTCTGGGTGCAGTGACCCTGTTTCAGATAAACTGCAATGTTTAGGGTAGGTTTGGTTTAGGAGTAGGTTTAGGGGTGGGATTAGGGTAGGGCTAAGGGTTAGGGGTAGGGTTAGGGTTACCCTACTGTCCTGCCAATGCCCAAGGGTCTTCTAGTCTTCTAGATACAGTTAAAGCAAAGTTCTCATTGCATTTTAAATAAATATTTTCAGCAACTTTTCACATCATTCATTGGCTGAGAGTGCCACAGCTCAACACGTCTGTGAACTGGTGTTTTCGTTTTTGGGTGTTCCTTCAGCTGCATATCAGCAGTGAGAACCATTGCATCATCGACACACTCCCTGATCTCTGCCCAGCACTTACAGACTATAATTAAAGTCCACAGTTGGATAGCCAAAACGGAAGTTGAATTCTTAATTATCCTTGCAACTTCAGATGGCCCAGGTCTTAGGTGCCAAAAAGGCATAGTTTTGTCAAACCACTCCAAAATAGTTTGACAAAAACCAAATGCATGACACTCAAGATTCTTTCGGCCGTGACCACCACAATGAACTTCAGTGGTTTTAATGCTTAGAGTGTCTCATTAAAGTCATCCAATCGCTTTCACAGTTTCTGGCTAATAAATTAGCTGGGTCACCACCCTCCTCCCTTACACACAATGGGTATGCAGTGAGTACAGGAAATAGTGCCACCAGATATTCTAAGATTTACAGCATGAGATAAATAGTCAATGTAAAAACATTTTTACATTAACAGCACATAACTGAACCCAAAAAAGAGGAAACGCATACCAAACTTTCAATGAAAATTACAAATAACTGTAAATGTAGACTTGCATCCATTGTAAGAATCTGGTCACTGCCCCCTTGTGTCTACAGTGTCATAAATGTATTGCAATGCTTCTAACATAAGAAAGAGCATTTCAGTTTGTACTCAGACTACTATTTCATCCGCAGATTTATCTGGCATTCATTCTGAAACATTATTTGAGGGAACTGGCATTACACACGCTTTTTGTCAACACTTTTCAAAAGGCAAATAAAAGAAAACAAAACAAAAAACTGACAAGAAAAAAATGGTATACAGTTTCCAAAAAAAGTATTTTCCTTTAAAGGAGAGGAAAAAAAAATAATCATCTCCAGGTTGCAAGTGAAAACTTATCCCGGCTTTAAAAGGTTATTTTAAAGATCAAAGCGTTCAGAAATCTGCACTGTGGACAGTTGGTGTTTATCATGAATTTCAATGAAACAATCCAACCGATAATAACCTGTGTAAAATTCCTTCAAAGACTGC